AAATTAAGTATATATATATATATATTACCAAATTTTTTATTTGTAAAGTTTAGAAAGAAAAATCGCAGCGGTTACTTTAGTCAGAAGTAATTCATAAGTTTGGCTCATATATTACACAGATTGAATTTCCCAGTAATCGAAGACTTCAATGTGATGCAATAAATTTGATTGTAAGAGATTATTTTCATGGTGAAACTGAAAGTTGTTCTAATGCTTTAATGTTGTCATTAAGAGGCACCAATGATATGCTCAGTTCTTTTTATAGGAAAGGTGACCAATGAGAATGGACATTGACCTTAGTGCTAACGACTGACATCAACGATGATGGAGATTATGTATATCAATAGTGATAATATATATTAAACTTAGATGTAGTGATAAATGTCAGCCTTATTATTGTAATGATGGGTCTCACTTATTAGTGACGGAGGACATCCACAATATTGGTGATAGTGAGTGTCAACCTCAGTGATAGCAAGTGTTGTCCTTTTAGTGACAATGAGTATTGTTTTTATTGGTGACGTTGAGCGACGGTGTTATATTGATGATGATTATTTGCAAATTGGGTGAATTCGCTTGTAATGTCGATGTTCAACAATATTAGGTGTTACTATTGGTTGACAATCAATAAAAGAAAGTATCAAATTAGTCATTTAATCATTGAAAATTTCAACCAATAATCTCTTTTAATTTTTCATACTTAAGCCCCCCTTTCTTCATTTTGCCTCATCTTTTCCACTCCTTTACACCTTCTCTCGACTTTGTTCACATTGTCGACCATTATCGCTCATTTTAGCTAGAGTTATTTAATTCTTCTAAGATCCGAAAATAAATTATTTTCTTAGATCATTAATGTTTTAATTTTAAATTTACATGTAATAATCTATAAACTTTCTTTATAAATTGAAGATTCTAGTTTGTTTATGAGATTGTTAGATGAATTGTAATTTGATGTACTTTCTTTGTGTGTATCTTCTTTAATTTCGGCAATTGGCAAAGGCGCTTTCCGCGCTGATAATATAATTTTATGTTTGTACTGCTGCTACTGCTAGTGCCATAGGTATAAAATCTTCTAATTATTGATTTCAAAGCTTCACTAAGATTGAAACTAAAGTACACGTATCGTTCAAGTAATATAGGATTTTTTTTTAAAACTCATTATCAATCCCACAGGGAAGGTCAAAACTCTTTTTATGACTTAATAAAACTTTACTTAAACTCCAGGCAAATCTAGGAAATAAGATCGCAAGTTTATGTAAAAAAAGTAACTAATTCCTACTAATTCAGTTTCAAAACTTAAAGAAAATGCTAAGTGTTTATAAACTAACTTTACATATATAAGTTCAAATTATATGAAAGTCTTTCCCATTGTAATGAGATCATAATCAGTTTAAGAATCAAATGTTAAAAGGTTTAAATGTAGTATTGTGTCAAATAGGAGCATACATGTCTTTACCATCTTCCAAATGCATAAAGAACATTGGTTAACCTAGAGTTAAGTTCCTAAATCGTTGGTTATGTTGGGTAGGTTCTAGTCTGTCACTCTGGATTACCCACTGTGCCCACAATTTTTGGAATAACCTAGCCTTAAGTTTCAAACTCTAGATCAAATTGGTTAATGTTCCAGCCTATCACCATATAATCACCAATTTACACCATCAAAACTTATCTCCCTATCTAATTGCACTAACCTATGGAATACCTTATCACCCTCTATATTAATGTGATTCTTACTAATTGAGGAATACATAGCCCTCCCGGGTCATTATGAATTCACAACAAGTTTTAACATACAAAGTGGTTAGATTGAATATGTAAATTAAGTACGAAGTAATGATTCATCACAAGTATAAAGTAAGAGAAATCTTAAACAATTCTAATTCTACACATGGTTATTTCTTATTGCAATGAGAAAGATAAAGAAAACAACTCAGACTTCTTGGGGTTAACACAACAAAACATGTTTTATATTAAAATTCAAGTTTACACAATAAAACAGAACTAAAAAAAATACAAATTACTTATCTTAAACTTCTCTCCAAGCAAAACGTCTGAAGTTCCTTTGATGAATTCTCAACTCTCC